ACAGGCAATTCCAGTCCTCAGCATCGTGGACACAACCACCAAGTTCATGTCGGCAGGAGTCCTCCAAGGAGAACAATCCGATGAGTTCGTACGAGCCATCGAACGAGGCTGGACTCGACACTTCGGACCACCAACCATCCTACAGGTAGATGACCACCGGGGATGGGCATCCGAACAGCTCAGGACTTGGGCAAGCGATCATGGCACCGAGCTGGAAATCTCACCCGGCCAGGCACACACCCGGCTGAGCATTGTGGAACGACGGCACCAGGTACTCCGAAGGGGTATCGAAATGTTCCTTGCACACCGCCGCCAACAGCCAGATCATGACCCGAACATGCCACACAGAGAGCGCATCATCCAAGCCCTGAACTACGTGGTACCGCAGATCAACAATACTCCAAATGTGCAAGGCTTCAGCGCCACCCAATGGGCTATGGGCACACAGCCCAGGATTCCAGGAGTGTTGATGGACCATGATCTCACTCCAACCCAACTCACCTGAAGTGAGGCTATGCAAACAAAGCTGACCATGCAGAAGCAAGCAGCAATAGCAGTCATTGAGGCAGACAACGATGCCCGACTCAGGAGAGCCCTCCTACGACAACACCAGGCCATCCAATATGTGTACCACACTGGCCAACGTGTGTTCTACTGGCGAGATGCACCAGGAGGAGCTGGACCAAAACTACGCTGGAAGGGACCAGCAACATGGTGATGACAGAAGAAGGACGAACAGGTCCTGCAACAAACACATACTGGGTCACACACGGCACAACACTGCTTCGAGTCAGTGGCGAGCACCTACGCCCTGATCTCAACCACCAAGATGACACCGACCCCATCATCCGAGCAAAGAATGCTCTCGACCAGATCCGAGGCAGAAGCACCACTCTGCACACAGATCTGCAAAAGACAAACAAGCGCAAGCGATCTGAAGTGGTCACAGAAGATGAAGATGACACAGAAATGACACCGGCACCACCAAAGACCACCACAGCAACTGCACCTGAACAACCACAAGACCATTGGGACGTGGAAGGAGATGGCATCACATGGCACCGTCGTCCCAAGACAAGCACTATATGTACCATCACGTGACAGTCAAGCACCACATGAGCACTTCCAAGATCTGAGAAGGACAACCATCCTCAGACCAGGCCAACCACAAAGGAATCGCACCGTGCTCCAAGATGATTGGCGACTCCCTGACGCCTCCACTCATGGACCGGAACAACCACATTCATCCTGCGCACCGATCGCCGAGCACCACCAGGCGATGATGATGTACAAATGGAACAACAACCAACGGCGCCACTACCGCCGACAGCAGGAACAGAAGGACATGGCAACAGCCCTGAGCCTACCCCTGGAAGCACAACCACTGGCATCATGTCACCGGCTATGCCACCAGGTGATCCACCAGCAGCTGCACCAACTGAATACACAGGACCACCACCAAGCAGTACAGGAGAACCAGAGCGACCACCTAGTATCCTGGGAGATGCAACATACGACGAACAAGTGACAATCCCAGAACACCAGCAAGCATGTACAACACACCAGAACGACAGGAATCCTTCCAAGAACGAAGGAGCCGCTATGACAAGCAAGAAACCCTGTCATTCTACACACCCACCGACAACAGGGTGAGATATGGCCCCAACAAAGAGCCATTCGAGACTTTGAGAACATCACCATACAGCAAGCCCAAGGCACCAGACCCAGAAGAAGCCCTCACCATGAGCACCTATGACGCAGACCTGACCAAGGCTGACAACATGACTTTGCCTCCAGGCTGGAAACTGGAAAACGGGTACTTGACCCTGGATGAGTGCCGAGACGAATGGACACTCTATGGAGACAAACTGGTCAGACGACACTACATCCCAAGGAACAAGCTGTTTGACCCAACCAGCAAAGGAGCGAACTGTCCACTGCCGACCCACTACCTCAGCAAGGACAGACAAACATTGGGCACAGGAAACATCAACAAGTACGACCGTTGGAAACAAAAGAAAGATGAAGACACAACATACAGCTGGACCGGACGCACTGTCTTCAAGGTCCTGCCAGCATTCCGCCTCTTGGCCAAGGAAGCATTCTACAATGCAAGCCAAGGTCATCAGACCTACATCGAGCCACCAACAGAACAGGCAGAACACAGCTACACAGCAGCTGCCACAGGCAAAACAAGAAAGGACCAACTCAATGAACGCCAGATGAATGTAGCCGACAGGCTCGCGTTCATGGAGGCCAAGAAGAAGGAGCTCGAAAGCTTCTTCCAAAATGATGTTTGGATGACGGATCCACCCCACAAGACCGCATTCTGAAGGCACACTTCATCTTGAAGTGGACGAAATGGCCAAATGGAGAGCCACGTGCAAAGGCACGATTGATCACACAAGGGTTTAAAGACCCAGATGCCCTCAGCGGACAGCTAAGCACTGACTCACCAACATTGAGCCGCATCGGAAGAAACTACATCCTGTCCATTTGTGCAAACACAGGATGGTCAAACTTCAGCGCTGATGTTAGCACAGCCTTCCTACAAGGAAAAGAACATCCCAGCCACCGCACTTTGTGGATCAAACTTCCACCAGACGCACGACGCCTGCTGGGAATCAATGACAAAGATGGCGACAAGGCCTTGATGAGACTGAAGAAGCCTATGTACGGTCTATGTGACGCCCCAAGAGCTTGGTACAGTGAAGCAAGAGAAAGAATCACCAAGCTTGGCGCCATTGTCCACCCATTGGACCCATGCCTCTTCATGGCATACGACTACGATGCACCCGAAGACACCTGGACCACACAAGCCGACGACAACGGCAACAACGTGAAGCACCCACCACTGACTGATTGGCCTATTCGGCCTACATGTGGATGACATCCTAGGATGTGGCAATATGCACAACAAGAACTTCCAAGCATTCCTCAAGTCCCTGAAGCAGACCTTCAACTTCAGGACATGGGAACAAGACACCGACATGGACTACTGTGGAGCCACAATCCACAGGATCAATGAACACCACCATGAGCTTCACCACAGCAAGTACTTCTCCAAGCTGAAACCCATCAGCTTTGAAGATGGCCCGGACACCCAACCAGTCACCGACAAACAGAAGACCATGCTCAGAGGCACCATAGGAGCCTTACAATGGCCAGCCACACAAAGTAGCCCACACTTGCAGGCAATGGTCAGCCAACTGGCAGGCCAAGTGAGCAAGGCCACCCTGGCCACACTACGAGAAGCAAACAAATGCCTCAGGTACGCCAAGAGCTACTCCGACGTGGGACTCAAGTACCAAAAGCTTGGACCAACCTCAGAGCTGACCCAAATTGGGTACAGCGATGCCGCCTTCGCTTCCAGAAGCGACCTGACCTCTCAAGGAGGACAATTGATCCTCATGGTTCACAAAGATGTGACCAATGGAGCTGAAGGCAGCTACCACTTGATCGACTGGCGGTCATGGAAACTGCCACGGGTAGCAAGGTCAAGCCTCGCAGCGGAAAGCCAAGCTGCATCGGAGACAGCCGACTCACTCCTCTATGCAGCAGCCTTTTGGAAGCTAATCTGGTCACCATACCTAGCACTACAAGACAGCAACATGGCAAAGCTCCAGCACCCACCAAAGATGGTGATCGATGCAAAAGCTCTTTATGACCTGCTGGTCGAGCAAGACCTATACAGACAGGATCACAAACCGACAAACAGACAAGCATCGAGGCCTTAGTGACCAAGGACAAACTGTCCTGCACAGGAGCATCGATAGCCTGGGTAACGAGCGAACTTAAATTCGCCGACGGCATGACAAAACACAGCGCTGCAGCACTCTTAGCACAACGACTACGCAGCCACATAACATGCCTACGACCAGACCCGAACTTCACTGCAGCAAAGAAGAAAACAGTTGAACAGCGCAAGAGCAGCCAAATGCGCTATGCAGTGACAAAGCCAACGGCACAGCTAGCACTACTAGCCTCTCTAGCAACCACGACAACTGCGCACTCCACAAACCCTACAGAACCACCGGACAGACAACATGGACTACCAGAACTTCACCTTCCTCGCTGTCTTCACCGTCATGGTAGCCCTGCTGGCTACCTCACCAACCGGCAGGTGAAAACACGTCACCTCAAGGACGTGACGAGTCAAACCAGCTACAGCGACCTGACCACCCTGGTCTGCCACAGAAAGAAGGAACAACAGCTGGAAAAGACGGTGGAGAGCCTTCAAGCCAAGCTCCAACAAGCAGAGCAAGTCATGAGCACCCTACAGGCCCGACACAAAGAAGAAATGAAAGCCCATCGTGAACTCCACGATCGGCACTTCGAAAAGATGAGGGTCATGTACGAGCAGGAGGTCAAGATCCGAGCTCGCAATAGAGTGAGAGCCGCGATCCTGGCGGACGTGCACCACACGAACCATGGTGCATGCTGGCACGCTTCCTTCCAATGTGCCAGCCAGAGGACTGCCAACGTGACCTACACCCTGAGGCCATGTAAAGAGTGCGCCCACACCCTGGGCGAAAATTGGCTTGGAGTGGAGACGGCAGCGCTAGAAGCCGCGGAAGCCGCTTTGAATGCAGCAGAGACTGCATATGCTGCCCACAACGCAGCGGAGAGTTCTCAAGGTGGACTTTCCACCGGTGTGAATTCGACGCCGTCGAACGAGCTTGCCAGGTCACCTTGAGCACATACCGCTGCTCCTTGGGCCAAACCGCCCCTTGTCCTGTTGTTTGATGTCCATCCAAGATGGGTTGCACTGTGCACATCGAGCTATGGCCACGATGGTGTGAAAAGGACGCACCGCAGCTCTTTCAGAGAGATCCATTTGAGCAAGTTCACTTCGTGCGGGATTTGCTTGAGGGTTGCCACTACCAACCTCAAACATACATTTTATATTATATATATTATATATCATATTCATTGATCTTCTATAGAAAACTAGGCCCACATGGCAACCAAATCATCCACACGGCATTGAGTCAGTGTACACGTGCACGTGGCCCGTGCACTCCAATCATCAGCCGTCTGCAGCTGCCTGGGGGCGTGATGTGGTCGCAAAACGCATTAAGCGGTGTTCAGGTCTACGGCTACAATTAAGGAAAAATCCCAGGCGATTGTATACCAAGTGCGTGTCAGACTTCATGCCTCACTGGACTTTTAGAGTCTAACAACTACTAGGCATCATTTTCTGCATCATCGAAGCACAATAGGTTCACTTCCAAATAGAAGATCAATCAGACCAAAGCATGATCACAAACATGACCAGCGGACGCCCCAATGCTGACGAGCCTTGAGCTCGAATCTGCTGCCCGGCGGCCCGAAGCTGCCTGGGACGTGGATCAGGGGTCCTTCACTCTCTGGAGATTAAGACGGTCAAAGCCCCAACTCATGTGATTATAATTGGTGTCAACGGCACAAATAACATGCAGCAAAAGAGTCCTTTTCACAATGCACCTAGCCTCTCCTTTTAAATCATTCATTCTCCACACTCACCTGCATCTGCCTGCCGAAGGATTGGTGCCTGTGTAAAACCCCCTTGGACGTGGTGCAACCTCACTTTAATTGCAAAGATAAAACACATACCTAACATATTAGGCCTCTGCCATGCAGGAAGGAAGCTGCAGCTGACTTCTCGCCCTGTCCGCTGATCTTTTTGAAGACTCCATGCTCCTTGGATCGTCCGAGACGTCATCATTCATCCAAGGTATGGAGGAGGCTGGCTTTGGCCTCTCCTCGCCGCTGGCTCCTCAGTCTCTTTTTCGTGCGTGTGAGCTTCTTCTTCTTCGTCTTCTTCTTCTTCGTCTTCTTCTTCGTCGTCTTCTTCGTCTTCTTCTTTTTTCTCATCATGCTCTCCTTTGTGAGCTTCCGTCTGACGAAGCTCTGCTTCGTGCGCCAGACCTCTCTCATCAAGCTTTTCCTTGTGATCTTTGTCTTTCTGAAGAAGCTCCCATGCCATGCATGGAGGAGGCTGGCTGTTGGTGCGTCGATCGCTCCGCAGTCGAGCGGAGCGTCGTTCTCCCTGGCTTTGAACCCGTCGATCGCTCCGCAGTCGAGCAGAGATTCGTTCAGCCTCTGGCAGCTGGTGAGCATATCTTTGAACCCCTCTCCACAACCGCTCTTTTAACTTTTCAATCTCTTCTTTGTGAGCGTCAATCAACAATTCTTTCTTTTGAAGCTCTTCCTTGACTTCTTCCTTGGCTTCTTCCTTGGCTTTGGCCTTCCACTGCTGACAATCACGCTCCATCGCCTTTTCCATGCTTGCATGGGTTTGTCTTTCCAAGTGCTGCCAGAAATGTGCACCCTGGCTGCGGTGCTCCTCGTTTTCATTGACAAAAACGTGGATGACACATTGCTTAGCTCGATATGCGGTGACTTGTTCTGGCGGATCTGTTTCATCGGAATCCGTCTTCCAACCGCAAATGCCCAAAAATAGGACTCGCATCTCATGTTGAATGCCAGATAGTCGAAAAAAGAAACCGCAAGTCAAACAAAGGATCATCATGACCAATGAGACCGAAAGCAACCAAGGAGACAAATAGAAAAGGAGCACTGTGATCCGGTGATTTGTGCATTGATGCCAAATCCACGTATGACCATAATTGCCGAAAACAACACGCAGCGGAGACAGGCTCCAAAAGAGGGCCATTGCAGGCACGTCGGATGTCCAGGTTGGTCCTGAAGTTGAGATGGTGTCCTTCAGCTTGTACTTGCAACGCAGCTGGCAGCAGCGACCTAAGATACAATGTAGTAAGCGTGTCAATGGACGTTTCTGCCATTCTAGCACCATCTTGGCCCTTGACTTGGTCAACAACAGCCGATCCCTATTCTGGAATAGTTGCAAGTTTTGCGTTAGCACAGCAATAAAGATGTTCATAAGCACAAATGAAATGCCAATGCTTGTCACGAAGAAAATCACCATGATGAAGAGGTGGTCATCACCTGGCTCAGGATCTTTTGGTACCCATGATACTTCATCTGTTTCTGTGTCATTTCCTTCAACGTACTTTGTGTCCTTTCCTTCAAATTCGAAGAGGTCGAAATCACCCAGGATTCCAAGTCGAAATGGGATGACAAACGCAGAGAAAAGCGGCAACGGATCCTCTTTTCGAGGACCCATTTGGTAGTAAGCATGTGCGGAGGCCAAAAGACATGTGCCGGTGATGAAGAAAAAGGATGCTGAATCCAAGATGGCACCAATGATGGGCAGGAACCTGAGCCCAAGCCATGTGTATCCTCGAAGGCTGGCGAGTAATCTGAGCCACGCCATGCCACAGAAAAGGGCCAGGAGGGCCTTGTTCGAAGCTTCATCAATGTGCCACCATGCCAGCTGCTGTCCAAGTACGATCGTTCCAATTACCGTGTAGACATTGTCAACACAGTTGTAAATATCAATCTGTTCTATCAGGAAAGTACCTTTTGTAGATCTTTCGACCATAATGTGCCACACAGAAGCCAAACATTCACAAGTCTCCTTCAAGTGCAGGATCGCCAGGATCCATGCAAGGGTGAGATCTGATGAGCTGGGATTGCTACTGTAGTTGTAGGACAACCAACACAGTAAGACCACATTCACAACGTTTACGAGATTGTCGATGACACTGCTCCTAATGTGTTGAACCCACGCAACCGAGATGATCGCATTCACAACATCTAAGTCAAGCATCTCGAGATTGTCAGTTGAAACCAAAGCCGCAAGTATTTTTGGGTCATATGCAAGTCGAGGTGGTAGTGGTAGAATGCAGTGCTTCACTTGGGCAAAGGTAGGATAAAACATACTCTGATGTTCCAGGTCATTGTAATATTGCATCGCTGGTCCTGTCCACCACTGCTCAGATTTTGGCGTCACATCCAGGCCATCCAATGGGGCCAGAACACAACCAATTCTGTTGCGCAGCTTGCCCAAACCTTCGCCCCCCTCCGTCTCCACCAGGAGTGCCTTCACAATCTCCGTGGCTTCCTTGTCTGGCCTACACAGCAGCCGGGAAAGAATCTCCACATCAACTTGCTGCAGCTGTGCCTTGCTCTTAAGGAGTAACTTCACAACCCTCGCATGCTCCCCCAACATTGCGGCACCCAGAACTGTCACTTCGTGAGGAAAGGTCGTATCGCCGAACCGCTTGTACCAAGAATAGACAATTTCATCTTTCAACAAATTGTCCACCGTACTGGCAAATCCATCATAGGCAGCCCACCACAACTGCTTGAGTTTGTGACAGTCACGTTGGTTGTTAGTCCCCCTTGTGTCGTCAGCATCCTTTGCCGGTTGGTCCTTGATTTGCCGACACAGCAGCATGGACAGAATCTCCACATCAACTTGCTGCAGCTGGGCCTTGCTCTTAAGGAGCAACTTCACGACCCCCATATTCTCACCCAACATTGCGGCACCCAGAACTGTCACTTCGTGAGGCAAGGTCGCGTTGTCGAACACCCTTGCGTAGTTAACATCAAAGCCCGGTTGGCTCAACAACTGCTCCACTAGTTGCCTGTTTGCATCACGGGCAGCCTGCCACAACTGGTCATTCGACTCAGGAGCTGGCTCGACATCTCGTGGATCTGGCTCAGGAGATGGCCCGTGACAGTTGCAGCGTGGTGGCCCCGGCCAGGGGTATCTGCGGCCACAGTTTGAGCAAACAAACGCAGTGGTGTGCGACAGGGGTGGCATTGGTGGTTGGGGAGGCTGTGAAGGAGCTACGACTGGAGGTTGAGAGATGTGAATTTCAACTGCGTCTTGGTCTGCCTGAAAGACCTGAGGCACTCCGGGCATCAAGAAACCAGGAGGACCAGACATTGCAGGCATCACACTCTGTCCTTCGACTTCAATACGCACTTCAGGTGGCTGATGCTGATGCATGAGGATGGGCTGGACTATAGCACGTCTTTGAGGCACAGCCACTTGCATTGGTGGCCCAGCCTGAGGAAGCATAGTGAAACATTGATCTAGCAATTCATGAAAATAACAGAAAAGGCATTCAACCGATCTTGAACCAAAACATCTACATTGATCGAATTCCAAACGCCTCCATCGGATGTGGCAACAATCAGTGACTGCTCCATGGCTCTCTCAAGCAACTTCCGGGGGTCCAACTGCCGAGGCGTCTGAGTGAACTCATCGCCTCGTTTGCGAACTGGCCGTTCTGATGGCTTCGCCACAGCGCCACTCGGGGGGCGGAGACTCCGTTTTGGGTGAATGTATCATGCGTTCCATGTTTGTTCGTTTGGTTTGTTATGTTTGTTTGTAGGCAATTCGGCTCGAACCTTCGTGGGGTTTGCCTGTCACTCCCTCTGCCACAGTGCAAAGGGAGTGCGGATCGGTGCCATGGCATGCACTCGAGTGCACTCATTTGGTATGTTTACACTAGGACACTTTCCTTCGGATTATCGGATCTGGAAACAGTATGGTTTCCAATATGGTCGATTCATTGATCGCTGGTATGTCAACGAAGACTACATGTTAGTGATCTTTCGAAGTGAATGGGATGATACGGTGAGCCTGGTGAAAATCCCGAAAGCACTCTGGCCATGGATGGTGTGGGACACACCCGTGGGCATCGCAAGGTGCAGTAAGGGTGGATGCGATACATTGTCTATGGTGCTCCATGACACTGTCTATCCGGCACCAGTTGATGACAAGACATGGTGTCCCTGGCGAAAGCCAAATGACGAACCCATGTGCGCACTGAAAGCAAAGGACGAGATGGGTGAAGAGACTCATACGGACTTTCACAGTAGAGTGACCGTTAGTGTAAGGGTGGGTGCTCTGTTGGGATACTTCGTCCAGGTCCTGGGTGCTCTCCATGGATGATTTTCATGATGGTGTGGCCAGTTGTTCAGACACGACATACGCCTGATGATCTGCACACTTTACACCTTCATGATGGTAAGCCAGCTGTCGCAAGTGAGACATCGATTTCGCCAGCTAGTGTGATAACCCTGCTTCTCTGGGTTGCTGTAATCTTGGGTGGCAGGACCTGTGTGACGCGTGGTCGAACACTTTCACAAGGTGCTCATGGGCATCTCAGGTCGCTGACTTGTGGAAAGCATCGTTGTCATGGCATGAAAAGCTTTCGAAAAGGAGATGCAAACAGGACTTTCCAGCCATCATTAAACGGCCATGACCCTAGTTTGCAAGATTCGTGCAGTTCGTTAGGTTGGTCAGAGGAACACATGAAATCAAGAGATATACATGAGCACACAAGACGCCGCAGAAGACCTCATGTTTGTGTGGAGGATAGGTGTGATGTGAGCGGCCAAACCTACATGCCCTTACATGCGGAAGAGGCTCCGTGGGCATTGTTCATGACCGGAGTGGCACGGTCTTATGAGAGCGAGGGCTGTAACAACCCGACTCTCTTCCGCAGCTGTTTGGGGCGATCGGATGGGGATTGCACTCTCTGCAATCAACCTGTTGCGCGCAGCCATGGCGTGGGACTGATGTCTCCATTGATGGAACCCTTGGAAGACAAATTCGAAGTCCTGCAAGATCCAAAGTCCGATATGAATGATGGCTGCCTGATGTTGTGTCAGGGTGATGCGAAGGTTTCCAGTCATGAGTTTTGTCGAGTCTTTGTGCTGAGTGGTAGGAGCTTAGGCTGTGAGAAATCACCACTGCAGTCATGGGTTCGATGTGTTTCACTAATTCAGAATGCTGCAAGAGTTGTGATCGAACTCAGTTTTGTCAATGCGAAGAAATCGGAACCAAGACGTTGTTTCCGAGGTATCTGTCAGCCCCCTGGTGAGAAATCATGGAATGTCATGATCAGGTGTCCTAGTCCGTCCAATGCCACATCTCCTTTTGCAACTGAAACAATGGTACACAAGGGGTGGACAGCGTCCTGTTTCATGTGATGCTCAAAAACAAGGGTCATCCAGTTCTTGCTACCTTCGCTAGGCAGAGTAATGCGGGTGAGCATGGTCCAGCCCAAAGCATTTGGCTATCCTGTGATGTAGATCCTCAGTTTCTGTCTGGTCCATTTGCCCGTGTCTGGTATGCACAAGTCTATCGGTTGAGTGAGCAAGGTGATTGTACTTGTCCCAAGAGCAGTCTTTCTGATGGAGGTCAGGTCTCCACTCCGGTCGTCCCTTCAGCCCATGTTCCGGCAAGAACATCGTCCAGTGCCGGTTCTACCCAGGTCCTTGGAAGATTCTCAGTGTGCATGGGTTAGGTGCGGAGGGGTAATCTCTTGGAGAACTACGCGGAAAGCAATGCTCAAACCTCGAGCGACGATCGGAGAAAGACTTGATTTTGTTAGGGATACGGAGGGGTGGATGGCAACAGATGAGATGTCGTTTTTGTTGACACGATTGTCTTCCGGCACTCAGAGACTCCACTTTACCTCAGCGGCAACCTACAATTCGGCACAGGATGAATTTGTGTTTGAGCATGGTCCGTATCATGTCCCCAATACGGGCACGACGATAGTGCCGATTTTGTTTGAATGTCACTGGCTGGCAATGGAAATCTGCCGTGACGTAAGCCCAAACAGGATTGTGTTGGTTGAAACTCCGCCAAGTCTGGAAGAACGCATGACTTTCTTTGCCTGTCACCTATTGCATATTCCGGCACATAGGCTCCAGATTGTGACACAAGAAGAACAATATGTGCCAGGTTTGTGCGGATGGACATTAGCATGGAGATGTTTGCAGAACGACTAGGGAGACGGCTTTTGTTCATTTAGAACGGGACTTCATGCAATTGTCGCCTGATCGTAGAAGGATTATAGACAGAGCCTTGGCCGTTTCGATCAAGCATTGGGATACTACTCAAGCACCTCAAGACTTGCAACAGGCTGCATATGTCATCAGACGTTCTTTCTTGACTAATTTTTTTTTACATCAGGCCTCAGTTCATATGGTCACGGATTCCAACGCAGTACTGGCTGCAGGACATCCGTTGTGCAAACGAAGCGCTCTATTCTTCAGGGAGGCTCATTCGGGGTCGACGCGTCTCCGGCGACCGGTGCACCGTCCACTTACGGCACCGTTCCTCGTTCTCCCAGAGCGGAACCTCGGAGGACGAAGCGCATCCCAAACGGTTCGATTCAATGGTTCCAAACAGTTCCAAACCGGTTTCAGCAGTTCGCAATGCGTCTCGGGGGTGGCTGCGTTTGCAATGAGAACAAATATGAAAACATAGAGAACGTCTTGGGTGCAGCGTTCTTCTCCTTTGGCTAATGATCCTGCAGCATGAGCCTCCACCGTTCCATACCGCCAAGGAGAAAAACGAACGGAACCCTTCCAGAACAAACATTGCACTCGCAGCCACTTAGCGATCATGGCCAAACTGCGCAAGTCTAGTCTGCCACTCCATTCCTTGGTACCGATCTACTTCCATGGAGCTACCGTGTTACCTGTTTACTTCATGTGTTGGATTCTTCCCACATCTAGCACCAACCATCCGCAGCCCTGGCTTGTTGCATGGAACATGGACTGTGTATTCGACGAACATGTATATAATTGGGCGGTGCCCATGACCTTCTCACCTTGCTCTAGCAGACTCTAGCAAATGTCTCGGTCATCACTCTTGTCTGTTCTACTCGTGATTGTTTTCCATCTCCTGCACCATCATCAAGCAAAGATTACAAAAAAACATGTAAACATATGTAAACTTATTGTAAACGGCTCTATTGGATGGTCTACGGGGTGGTTCAGGAGTCGTTTTGTTTCAGGAGTTCTTTTATGTTTACTATATATATATATATCACCTATACCTATGGAACTCGAAACCTACGAATTTGTCGTGTTTGATGGAAAACATAATGTTTTGGTTCCACTTGACCAAAAACATTGTGTTTCTGTCGAAAACATGTGTTTTCCAAAAGCATCCAAAAGCACTAAGTTTCGAACCCGTGTAAAAACCGTAGAAAACCCGTCGACAACCCGTAGGTTCCCATGACGTTTTAAGGGGTTCTTGGTTCTCTAGGTATATCTCGTATATTGGAACATACAAACTGGATGCTAGCCCAGGTGTTGGTTTATAAATAGTGGTTGTCTATACATGCCTTTTTGGTGCCCAAGGGGGCCCTTTCTCCATGTCCCCAAAAGGGCCCGGACACGATCCCTTCGCCCGTGAGCTCGTCGGAGTCGTCCTGATATATTGTCTTCACGACACTCCAACCCGCAGCGTTGGGGGGACGGGGCATCGTCTTCCAAAGAATACCATGTTGGAGCCTCTTTGACATTCTTCACATATATTTATGTAAGTCCGTGCAGGGACCTTTTTGAATGACGGGTTGGACCATATTAGTGACTGATGCAAAATGAAGGAGCGACCGAAGAAAGCAAATGAAAACTGCCAAACCTGAGCTGTCGGCTCTTGGTTCTTGACAAGGGTCTATAGTTCTACATTGGGTATATCCCAAAACATGGGCCGTGGCTTAAGGGGACCCCCTCTCAAGGCCCCCCTGGAATAATTCAAACATTATTCTGACCCCTAGTCACATCGATGCTGGAAATTAGTCTGGTATGTCATTCACATTCAGGAATAATTTCTAATGTTTCTTAAGCATCTGGATGCAAAACCACGTAGTGAATTAATTTTGCGTTGAATGTCCAAGTACCTAGTGAGAGCTTAGGGCCTGGGGATCGGTGAGAATGTAACAAAGCCAGGACTGTGGACAATTGCAATGGCAATGGCAAGTGGTGCAGGACCCAGCCAGTCGCACATATTTATTCCAGGGGGCCTCCACATCTGAAGGACCGATGGGCAAATTGAGCCCCTAAGCAGTCTGGGCTGCGGACAATTCCAGTGGCAATGGCAAGTGGACCCAGCCAGTGGCACGTAATTATTCCAGGGGGCCTCCACATGTGAAGGATGCGTGAGCAAATTGAGCCCCTAAGCACCCTGGGCTGCATACAGCCTGCCCTAAGCAGCTACAAAGCCAAGGACTGTGAGAAGGTTGCAGAGCCAGGACTGTGGACAATTCCAGATTGTACATGTATGTACTGTCAAAGCGCGAGAACCCTGGCGGACAGCTTTTCTTCTGCCCACCTCGGGAGGCTCAAGGCCTAAAAGGTTCACCGGGATTCGAGCACCTGTCGTGACCGTAGGTGTCCCGATCGTGTCCCGTCCGGCTACGATGTCATGCTCGGCTCAGAACAATCATGAAGCTGGTTTCAAACCTTCACATTCCTCAATGTTCTGTGATTGTTCTGCCCTTGGGACATCGTGGTGAGAACTACTGGCGCCCGAGAGGGATGCCAACTTCTCGTTGTTGATCTCGTCAGCCAGCGTCCTCATTGCACCGACAATCCTGCTCATCTGCTCTTGGTCTTCATAGACACATGCTGCTTCCCAGGAAACTGTCAAAAGAAAATAGGTTGTCTCTTTTGTCGTCATTGAGTCCCATTGCTCTTTGCTCATGCCTGTCGGCTTTTCACCATGTCCACCCTCATATCCTTCTTCAAAGGGCGCTATCCTTCCGTCACCTGCCAAGTCTTGGAACAGCTCTTGAGGAGTCGGTGACTCTACTCTGTCGGGGTTCCTGGTGCCTCACGACCATCTTGTCGTTTCTGCAGGATGTCTCTTTTTGCTTCTGAGCTCATCGATGGTGTCCTTCTTCTTTTCTTCTGCTTCAATCTCTTCTCCAGATCAAGCGCTCTCACCTCCTGACCGTTCCTGCTTGTACTCAATCCGGATCAGTCGATCGATGACCTTTGTGATTCTGTAGTTGTGCTCCTCGGAAATGTCATCCATCTTCTGATGTGTGAAGCGATTGCTGTCGCCAATGAAACTGGAAAGTTTCTTGGAGTCTTCATTGATGGCATGTCTCATCCCATCCATGTTGGTCAGCATAATGTTGTTCTCTGAAAACATCTGCGATAGACCAGCGTGGATCAACTCCTGAGTCTTCCTTCTTTCTGTTCGCAGGATGAGATTTGTGGTCGTTGTTTCTCATCAATTCTCTTCACAACCATCACCGTCATGATCATCATTGCTCCCAACAACACTGCGAGACATTCTGAATTCTGTGAAACTGTTGCCTTCATCCCTAGTACCACGGTCAGCATTGTCACTGTTGCAACAAGAGCGCCTTGTTTGTACAATGCCAGGTCCTCGTACCATCCAAACAGCTTGGTGAATTCAATTGTATTGTACCAAAGAGCTGCTGTCAGTACAATGATCACGCACGCAAAACTCAACTCCCATGACCAAGAGGGCAAAATCGTCCTTACGTCTTGCTCTGCTTTTGCTGGGAGGAACTGCTGCGCAAATGATAACATCCGTACTGCTTTCGCACTCACACCGCTGCCTGAGGATGTATTGGATGCTGAGGCTGTTGTGTTGGGGCTCTCAATGATCTCATCATCATCGAGCTCAATGGGCATCCTGTTGATTGTTGTTGCTTCCTCATGATCCTGAACTTTCTCCGGCTTGGGCTTTTCATCTGGGCTTTCAAGCTTTCGGCTTCTTGAAGTCTCTGGAAGACGTGGGTCTGGCCCAAGAGTCCACTTGTTTGAGTACAGCACATCGTTCAGGTATGTCAATCCTTTCCGATGTAAGGCCTTCGTCAATGCATCGGCCAACTGCTGTTCTGATGGGACCCACTTGCATTCAATCCCTTCTTGCAAACTCTGCCGGATAATGGCAGCTTCAAGAGACAACCTTCTGTCTGAGAGAAGCACTCGCTCCGACTTCATGCAATCATATAGGGGTCTGCAATCTGTGACCGTCACTCCAGGAATTCGATGTAGGTGCTCTTTGTATTGCTTCATGTCCAAATCACCATGCAAAATCTCCAGAACTGTAGCACGAAGCCGACTGAGGGCATCCAAAGCTTCCGAACAGGAATATGCTTCAGCACTTAATGTAGACCTCACCACACGTTGGATCTTCGAGGATGTCCAACGCACAAAGTGAACATCATGCACTGAAGTCCGATCCTTCATGATCTGTGGTGTGGAGATGCCCGACCAATATCCCTTCTGGCTCTTGTGTCCTGGTAGAATGTTGAATGACATTCCTGGTCTGTAGACCAACTCATCATCTTTGTGGTATTGCTTAACATCACGAACCAGCTTTGCTGCCTCCTTGAGACTGGAAATCTTCAGGTCCTTGATCTCACTGGCTATTTTGCTCACCTGAAAACCGATAGCATAGCCCATGATTCGTGCATACCACTGTAGTTGACCTAACAGTCCTCTGAAAGACTTCACCTCACTTGTGGTCAAAGATGCATTGTTGTCCTTGCCACGTTCCCTGCTGACCTTGTAGGTGCTCATGGTGTCGATGTATTCTTGTGCATGCACATGGATGGTTCCATCTTCCTCCTGGGTGTATGATCGTCCACAAAACTTCAATGTGCCGTCCGTCCATTGTCCCCACTCAACTTCCTTCTGCATCTTCTCCTGCATGGACTTGCACTCATCCGGAAACTTCTTTTCATTCCATGCGATGAAGACATCATCAACATGTAGTGCCAGGATTGCGATCAACTCTCGTGTTGTAGGGTCTCGAAGCACAAAACCCGCCAACTCAAATGTCAAACTTTCCCAGCCAAGTCGTCTGAGGATTCCCTTGATGGAATGGTACCATTGTCGTGCAGCATCATTCACACCATAAATTGACTTCTTGAGCTTTAACAATGAACCAGGTTGAACTCCAGGAATTTGAGCCTTTCCAAGGTTCTTTGGAGGTTCAAAATAGAGTTCTCTGTCGATCTTCAAGCCTTGAAGAACAGCACCACGCACAATGATCTGAACAAGCAGGTTTGAGCATGTTGGTGAATCTCGTCTGAGCGACTCATCGTATTCTTTGAAATCCTCGACCAACAACCCTGCATTTCAAGACCAGCTCCTCCTTCTCATTTGCTTCTCGCTTCTCATCATCTTTCTTTGTCCACACTCCTCTTGATGATATCACCTTCTCTGGAGTTTCTTTCTTGATCTGCTGACTTGGCTCTGGAGGAATGATTTCAATGGCATCAAACTTCTGCCATGTCCCGATCTCTCTCCACCGCCTTCTGCATCGCCTCCTCGATCTCTTCCTCCGTGAATTGAGAAAGTTGTGCCTTCATCTTCTGTGGGTTCAATTCCGTGCGTTTGTTGTGCTTGGTGTAGGTGTCCAATCTTTCGGCTAGGAAGGCAACACACATGGTCTCCTTCTCCTCAGGGGTCAAGATGCTCTGGGGGTCTTCTTGTCCACTTTCTGCCTTTTCTTCTACCACGGGTTGACTCGGGCACGTCATCGAGAAGTAGATCTCTCTTGAGAAATCAGGGAAGGCATACTTGGAGAGTCTTCAGGAGGAACAGGATGTTCCTCAATGTTCTGTTGATTTGAGCTCTCCAGCTTCTTCTTCTTCTTCCTTCTCTTCTTGCTTGCACTCTCATCAGGCTTCTTTGGGCGACCAAGACCTTTGATCCTCCGAGCTTCTTCATCATCATCGTCAGCAGCCTCTGTCGTCTCCTCAGTCTCTCGTTTCCTTTTCTCTTCTCTCTCAATCTTCCTCATAGCTCTGACTTCACGGGATTCATCACCACTGGAAGTACATTCATCTTGGTAGATGCTGCCATCTCGTCTGCTGCCTTGGGCGACTCCACATCGTTCTCATCTGGAGGTTCTGTAGGTTCATACTCATTCTCCTCTTCCAGATCGATGGGATCCTGCGGCTTTGAGAGGTCTAGGAAACCTTGTTGTCCATTCTTCGGTAGGAGACTTCCTTCATCCTCTAACATCAACTCTTGTTCTTCTGGAATGGCCTGGTTGTTGTCGGGTTTGAGAAAGCAAGGCACGACGAAGAGATGCGGAATGATTGGCTTTCACAAAAGCATGTTCACAATCTTGAAGTAGCTTCATCCGCTGTGCCATGGCAAAATGATCATCGTGATCCAACTTGGGAATTCCTCTGCTGTCACCCATGATCTCAGGTAAATTAGGCTGAAAACCCAAAACACACTGAGCTGGCGAAAACCCACGATGGCCTGCACACAGTTCACCACAGCAACTCTCGTCAATATGGCACCTTTGATCTCACTGTC